TCTTCAGATCACATATAATAAAAGTAAACAAGATAAAAATTATAGGGCCAGGGGCTGGGGATTTAGCTCAGTGGCACAGCACCTGCCTGGCAAGTACAAGGTCCTGAGTTCGGTTCCCAGTACTGGAAAAAAAGAAAAAAAAAAATTATAGAGCCAGGGATATAGCTCAGTGGCATAAGCACCTGCCTGGCAAGTGCAAGGTCCTGAGTTCAATTCCTGGTACAAAAAAAAATTGTAGAGCCAGGGATATAGCTCAGTGGCATAAGAACCTGCCTGGCAAGTGCAAGGTCCTGAGTTCAATTCCTGGTACAAAAACAAAAATTATAGAGGAGCAGACAGCACACAAGCAATCTCAGAGACAGATTCTTGAAGCAGATTAGCCAGCTGAAATCTCACCTCTATGTAAGGTAAATTACTGAACCTGTGGAACACAAAATTCCTAGCCATTATGTAAAATTCACTTGTTGTTCAATACAGATACTTAATGAATGCAAAATAGTACCAGGAAGTCTTGTAGACACTAAGATAATAGTGCTGGATAACTCTCCACTTGTGTCTACATTGGAGATAGGAAGACTCACTCTTAGGAAGAGAATAGTAGTAAAATCTGCTTAGAAAAGTGTCATAGAGAAAAATAAAGGAAAGTGAGGAGTTGGGATTTTATTCTGTGTGCTAATAACCATTGTTGAATATTTAGTCTGGTGTCTTGGTTACTTTTCTCTCATTGCTGAGACAAAATACCCAATGCCCAAAATTAAGGAAGGAAAAGTTTATCTAGCTCACAGTTTGTGGAGGTTTCAATCCATAATCAGCTGGCTCCAAGGCAGGACGGCCTGCTGAAAGTCAACAGTTCAAGGCAGCAGAAGACAGCAAAAGCAACAAGAGCAAAAGGGGCAGGAGGAGCAAGCCTCTTTTTCTCCTTTATATTGTATGCAGGCTCTCCACCCTAGGGTGGATCCTTTATATCCACACCATCTCCATGCCCTCCTCTTGCACAGGTTCAGTATGTTTACAAAGTGAAGACCCTGGCCCCCTGCTCAGTTGCTTAGTTAAGCTTCTAAACTTCACAAGTTGACACAACGTATCAACCATTAAAATCCACCCCTTGTCATCTTGGCAACCAGAAACATTTCTTTAAACTGGTTTCCAGGTACAAAGAAATGCTTATTTTTATCATTCCACAACTTAAACATTATAACAGGTTTAACAACCCTTAAGAACCAGTATTAAGTCTATCAACATTGTATTACATTAGAACCATAACATTTTGCACCTGACTCCCCCCAAAACTCGTGCACATCCCTTTATGCAAAAGGCATTTAGTCCATCTCTAAGAGTTGCCAAAGTCCTAACAGTTTCAGCATTGCTGAAAAGTCCAAGTCCCAAGTCTCCTCTGAGACTTAAGGAAAAGTCTTAGCTGCAAACCCCTGTACAAATGAAAATAAAGTTAAACACTTTCAACATTTAATGGTACAAGATAAACATTTTTATTTCAAAAGTTACAAAGGATTGGCACTAAAGCAAGCCCAAAATCTGTCAGGGCAAACATCTGAGGCAATCTGTGGCAATTTATAAGCTCCAAAAGACAAGGGTGGCTCCACCCCTACAGCACTTCTGGTGGTTGTAACTTCCATTACTTCTCTCTTGGGCCCACTCTGCTCCCTCCTTGTGGCTTTCCTTAGACAATCCACATTCCTGGCTTTTCCAAACTTCTGGGATCTCCAATGAACCTTTGACTTCACACACTGCCCTCTCAGAGGCACACTGCCTGGCCTCCCAAGCCTTCTGAAATGGGAGTGAAAGCCTTCTTAACCACACAAATCTTGCATTCTTTATATGTCTAAAGTCAGCACCACGTGGATGATGCCAAGTTCTGCTGCCAGCTGGAGCAGTAGCCAGGCTTTCCTCTCTGTTGGCTCTAGGGGTTGAGTGCCTGGATCACTGGGCACTCTGAATCCAATTCCAAGGAACACATTTTCTATGTTGCCACCTTTCTGGAACATGATCCTCTGTGGCTTTCTCCTCAAAGCAGTCTTTCACTTTTGCAGTTTTGAGGGTGCAAAGGGTTTGAGGCTACAAAGGGTGGAGACTTGCTGCTTCTTGTGATGACCTCAGGCAATCTTTTATGTTCTCCTGTTCCTTCTCAGCAATAGAGATCTTCTCAGCTCTATCTTTGTAGTCCACAGCTTTACTGGAGCTTCCTTTCTGGCCAAACTCACAGTGTTTTAAAACATCCTGCTGGGCTCTTTGCTCTTAATTCTCAACATAGGTCTGGCTAAAAGCCCCCAACAATAGCCATGCCACT